GTAATATAGATCATACAATCAACTATAGGCGGTTTTGAAACATTGTGGTTTATTGGAATTTACTCATAATCAGATCTAATAAGCAACACACACATACACACACACACACATACACACACACACACAGTCCATCTGATGGTAAGTGGATGCTGTGGCTCATAGACATCTACATCTATCCTCGTTTAAGAATTAAAATGCAGATGCGTTGCCAGCCCTGAGGACTAAGATGAAATGCCTCGTTTCCAGTAAAAAGGGTCTCCAGATCTCTACACTCACCATACGGAACACAGCAGCATTGAACTGCTATTTTACGCTGATATTCTGTGAGAGCGTGGTCCTTCCCCGGTCGAGCCGACCCATTCGTACTACAACGATATTATAGCTGCAGCATGTCTCTACCACGTATAAAATGTTAGTAGGGTTAATGGAGAATATCAAAAAAATGAGAATAAAATATATATTTCATGTTTAATTTTAGCCCTTTTCCCTTTCATTCCGCTGTTGTGTAGTGTAGACACCACGTTAATATATTATATTAGTGTTATAAGGTAGAATAATTGGGCAGTATAATTAAACATCTAGAACAAGTAACACGTCTCCATCTCATTGGCACCTTTCCTACATCACACCGCGAATATTTTGACCTCCGTCGTAGTCACAGCGATTAATCGTTTGACTGTAACGTTACAAGCCTGCGGTTTGAATACCGCAATGGAAAAGCCTCGCCCTGCGGAAACACCATCCTGATTCGGTATCGCCTACGCCAGGTAAGGAACGCTGGTAGGAAGGCCTGACGACGTAGGCGTTATTGTGCTGTCAGCCCCAGAGGAGGGAGAATGACGTTAAACTGGGAAAAGAAAGAGAGTAAATATTTGTAGGGAGTCAAGACAGTGTGCACGGGAAAGAGTTACGTGCAAGTACCGCGCGCATCTCCCGAGATTCGGCTCGTATTGCCTGAGGATCGGTAGGACTATGGGAGGTGGTGGGTTCGAATACGGCACGGAAAAAGTGTAAGTATGGCCAAAAATAATTAACCCTGGCCTGGATGTGTACTGTTACCGTTACAGCCAACTAAATGTCACTGCTGAAAATAGGCTTTCCCCTATTTGCCATAGTTGCCACGCTTGGCCAGCGGGTTGGCAACAGCAGTGTTTTATTTTGGTCGTTATTAGAAAGACGTTGCTGCCCATCTCCTGACTCGTTTCACTTTGTCGCCTCTCACGACACCCCTGGGTCGATATGGGGCAGTGGATATTCTTGCAACGTCACTCACGGCCTGAATGTTGGTGTATGTGCAATTTATGTACTAGTATGCAACATGCCTTCAAGATACAGAAAAAAATTATAGCGTGGACATACAGTATTGCTTATTAGCAAAGTAAAAATAATATATGGTAAAATTTTAATCAAGATTCATGGTTGTTTAAAAGCCAAGTTGGACATTAACTTTAGCAGTAATAAAAAAGTTTTACATAATGATTTCTTATATTTACGCGAGCACTACACATTTAATCAACCTTGTAAGGGATCCTTGGAAAGTGTTCTTTAGCAACGATTTGTATCAAATCTGATATAGTGACCACAAATTCTCGATAAAGATCACAGATTTCTTCCAAGGCTGATTGGCGAGGCTATTGAAATCAAAAAACATCCTAATTTCAATAGAGAAGATAGCTGGGCGCTAGCATCTGCTAGGGATCCTATAATTAATAAAATTAAATCCCAACCCAAGCATATAACTACAAAACTTCAAGATAAGTTCATACTGTGTAGATCTGAACAAAGATTAATAATTTTAATCTGTGGGTAACCGCGGTTAATTATGACATCTGGACGTTGAACATCTCAGTCCCCCTGTAACCAGGGGTGCTGTAAAGAGCTCGAAAAGTCGGGAATATAAAAAAAGTTAATATAAGCGATAAAATCCATAAAAACTAGTTTTATTTAAAGTTAAGTTACAGCCTATGTTCATCCCACTGCTGGACTCAGGCCTCTTCTCATTCCTGAGTGGTTTATGAAGCAATAAGTTCGTCGCGCCGCCTCAGTGAGTGTTGGCGGACCTCACCCATCATAGAAACTTTATTTCTTAGACATACTGATTTCCTTGGGATAATTTTCTTCACCATTGAGCACATGGTAAATCAGTACATAAAATTCCAATTAAGAATTTTATTGGTGCCATCTGGTCTACCGACGGGTATCGAACCTGGGTTGCTTGCGTACTGTAAAAACCTGACCTACTTTCAAGCGTCACACTGGCCTTAAATTTCATAGTACCTGTTCATTCTGATTTTTTTCTTTATTGAACCTTGAAAACAGTACAGGAAATCATTATCTGCCAAACTAGCTAATAATAAAACTACGAAGGCGTTAACAGAAAATATAAAAATATCATAATAAGTAAAAATATGCGAACATATCTTAATAATACTTAAGATAGTAAAACAACCGACGACGACGAGCACACAATCCACCTGATGGTAAGTGGAATCTGCATATATCCTAGATTATGAATCAAAACACAGATGCGTTGTCAACCCTCAGGACTAAGATGGAATGCCTCGTTTCCAGTAAAAAAGGTTCTCTACACTCACCATACGAAACAGAACAGTATTAAGCTGCTATTTTACGCTGGTATTCTGTGAGAGCGTGGTCCTTCCCCGGTCGGGGCGAATCAATCATGCTATAACCATAATATCGCTGCAGCGTGGCTCTACCAGACACACACACACATATACACAAATATATAATACAAGACAATATTATAATGAGTTCGACTATATCTGCCATTGATAACGGTTATATTACTATAACACTACCATTACCAGCTCATCAAGGCTCCACTGCTAAGCGAAGACCTCTCCCACTAACTGCCTCACTCAATCGCCGCAGACAGCACGCGCTGCAGGCGAGCTGGCGGACCGCAACTGTTTATTATGCTGAGCTGTTATCAGGAAGCTGCTGCTGCACATCTTCTGTTTCACTTTAATCTCTTTCCTCTTGCGATACTCCTGCGATGATGTGGAGTAGTGGATATTCTTACTAGACGGTTTATACGTGGTAGAGCCATGTTGCAGTTATATTATAGTTGTAGCACGTAAGGTTCAGCTCGACTGGGGAAGGACCACGCTCTCACAGAATACCAGCGTTAAATAGCAGCTTGATGCTGCTGTGTTTCATATGGTGAATGCAGAGACCCGGAGACCCGTTTTACTGGAATCGAGGTATTCTATTTAGTCATCAGGGGAGACAACGCATTTGCATTTTGATTCTTAATCGAGGTTAAATGTAGATGTCTATGGGCCACAGGATCCACTTACCATCAGGTGGACTGTAGGCTCGTAAGTCACCCTAATTCTATAAAAATCTATCCATTAAAATAACCTTTAAGCAAACTAACATATAAGCATTTCGACAGGATGCGCTGATCGGAGCACTTATCTCGGACGGTAATAAATTTGCGCCAGTCAGCCATGGTTCCACCTTGTACTTGGTGGTGGAACAATGGCTGTTCCACCTTGTACTTTTATCGTTAAAAGGATGTCTTATCTTCAATTATGGAGTTAAATGATAGAAGTTTTGACGGCTTCATGGCGCAGTGTCTTAGTACTTTACTGCGCTCAGGGTCGCGGGTTCGAATTCCGCACGGAACATATGGCCTACAAATAATAGTTCCGGGTCTAGATGTTTGTCTTTGAGTATTTTTTTAGCATTTTCGCTATACCTTTCATCTAAACATATAAATACAATAGGGGCGTCTGTCTATTATATTAAAATAACTGGTTTCTAAAAAGCTCTATGATTTATTAGCACGCTACTAGGAGATCAAAAATATTTTTTAAATTTTCGTCTGCCTGTCGGTCTGTTCGGGCTAGTCTTCGAATTAGCTGAACCTATTGTAAAAACATTTACGAGAGTATAAAGAGCATTGCCATTAGCGATCAAGGCTATATTTTATCCAAAAAAACAAAAATTGGTTGTCTGTTAAGTCGGTTCACGGATACATGAACATGGCAACGTCATAAAAAAACATTGATGAAATGATTGCATACTTAGTGGAAGAGAGATAGATGCGGCGCAAGCCGAACGCTCAAGCCGATCGTGTCTTTCGCTCGCTAGTGCAGCGATCTCGCTCTGATCATAACGTTACAGTGAACGTAACGTTACTATGAGTCATCCTTTTCCGTGTTCCATGCAACCGGCGTTCATGGATTTATTAGACGTCAAGTCAATAACTTGAAGATTTGAGAAAAAAACGCAGCGGGGGGCCGGTGGCTAGTTGACAATAAAAAAGATGTCTTCTCACAAAATAGAAGTGTAAGATAACGGCACAAAACGTTTTATATCAAATGGGGCTTGTTTAATGTTTACTATTCAGAGGCAATCAAAACAAGCTGAATAATTCGACGGCGACTATCTTTCCGTCCGAATACAATCTGGGCGTCTTCAAGGCAAGGGTCAATAGGCTACTGTTGAACTAAAATAGAGCGACTTACCATCTAGGTCTTACCACCATGTGGGATTGCGGTCAAACACTGGCTACTATAAGTAAAAAAAGCATTTGTCTAACATAGTATGACCTAAACTCGTTCAACAAAGTCGATCTTAAAGTAATAGTACAAATATCCTCCTTTACAGTCTGTCAAGAAACTCATGAAAAAATGGAGGGCGCCACTATCTATTATACGGTATCCCCATAGATTTCAAACGAAAAGTTTTGATACTTTTTATTTTATGAACTGATTTATTATTATGGTCCCTTTACTGTCATATTTTTCAAGTGCCATGCTTTTATTGGTATGAGTAACCCTTGACCCATGTTTATCCCAGCAGCAATAATTAGCTAAATTCACATACTTAATAATTGAGATAATTTGACTATCTTACAAGTAATTAGGAAAAGCAGGTTTTACACAACACCAGCCTTGACACACAGCAGACACTCAAGGTGAAGAAATAAAAGAAAAAAATGTTGATACACAGTTATTATGTTTTGATTATTAGTCTGAGTGCAAATAATCTGAGTCGAGGTATTCAACTCCCGAAATGTTGCCTGAAGCTCCTGCGTAATTAAATTGGTCCATTTGCGACTCTTCAGATTCACTGGAACTATCATCGCTTACTGAGATGACAAGTTTGTCGATATCATATTCATTTTTTAGCTTGATGACATAGTCAACACAATTTTTCCATTCCTGCTGAGTTACTGACTGAAATGCTTCAGTAGGCAACATCGCAACATCTTGACCACAAACATTCTTTTGTGCGATTCGCCCTTTTACTATTGCCCAAACTAATTCAATGTAGTTCAGATCACAATGATACGGTGGTAGTCTTACCACTGTATGCCCATGTTCCCTAGGAGTTCATCAATATAATACACCAGTTCAGGTTTATGTTTTTTTACAAGCATCAATAAGGATGGTTTCCGCAACGTTTCATCAAATGGAATATTATTTTCCATCAGCCACAATTTGATTTCAAAAACTTTTGATGCAGATGTAGGTGAAAAAAAATTAATTTAATAGTTGATTTTCAGTTGCAACATAAAAAGATAAGTAATAATGTAAAACAAAACCAAAGTATAAGAAATAAATATTATAATACCTTGTTTGTTATAGTAGAGTGGTATGGTGCATTATCCATCACAATTATTGATGGTTCAGTTATGTTGGGCACTAACTTTTCAGTTACCCAATTTGTAAAATTATGAGCATTCATCTCAGAATAGTAATCATCTTGCTTGTTTTTACCAGTAAATATTATTAGTGCATTAGACACAAAACCATTCTCTCTTCCAGCATGCACAATTATCCATCTTTTCCCCTTTAGATACATCTTGTTGGGCACCAGAAACATTAATAGGATGCCAACATTTACTTTACTTACTTATATACCTGCTTAGTTACTTGCTTACATACTTACTGATCAAGTATATGAGCAAGTATATAAGCAAGTGCATAAGCAAGTATATAAGGAAGTATATAGGCAAGTATATCAGCAAGTATATAAGCAAGTATATATGCATTTATATAAGCAAGTATATGAGCAGATATATAAGCAAGTAAATAAGCAAGTATATAAGCAAGTATATATGCAAATATATAGACAAGTATATAACCAAGTATATGAGTATGTATATAAGAAAGTGTATAAGCAAGTATATAATCATGTATATATGCAAGCATATAAGAAAGTATATTAGCTGCTATATATGCAAGTATATAAGCAAGTATATCAGCAAGTATATAATCACGTATATAAGTAAGATTATAAGCAAGTATATGAGCAAGTATATAAGCAAGTAAATAAGCAAGTATATAAGTAAGTATATAAGCAAGTAAATAAGCAAGTATGTCAGTAAGTACATAAGCAAGTATATATGCAAGCATATAAGAAGTAAATAAGAAAGTATGTAGGCAGGTATTTAAGTATATAAGCAAATATATAACAATGTATATAAGCATATGTACATAAGTATATGAGCAAGCATATGAGCAAGTACATAAGCAAGTATATAAGCAAGTATATAGGCAAGTACCTATTTAGCAAGTATATAAGCAAGTAAATAAGCAAATATATAAGGAAGTATATGATCAAGTACATAAGCAAGTATATAAGCAAGTATGTTTACTATTACTACTTGATTATTAACTTGCTTTCATACTTTATATACTAGTTTATATACTTTCTTATATACTTGCTTACATCTTGCTTATTTACTTGCTTATATACATGCTTATATACTTTCTGATATATTTGCATATTTTTTTTTATAGAAGAAGGGGCAAACGAGCATGTGGCTCACCTGATGTTAAGTGACTACCGCCGCCCATGATCAACCGCAACACCAAGAGAATTGCGGGTGCGTTGCCGGCCCTTTAGAAAGGAGTAAGCTCTTTTCTTGAAAGTCCCCAGGTCGTATCGTTCCGAAAAAATTGCCGGTGCTAAACTATTCCACAGAGAGGTTGTACGTGGAAAAAACTCATTGTGAAACGTACAGTGGTGGACCGCCAAGCATCCAGATGGTGTGGATGGTATCGGGACGTTTGACGTGTAGTGCGTTCACGAAATTTGGCGGCTGGGATTAATCCGAACAATTCCTCAGAGCACTCCCCGTGATAGATGCGATAAAATAAGCAAAGAGATGCAACATCTCTTCGCAGCGCCAGTGAATCGAGCCGATCGGAAAGCACTCGGGCATCGACGATTCGAGCCGCTCTGCGCTGGATGCGGTCAAGTGGAAGAAGCTGGTACTGGAGAGCCCCAGCCCAGAGATGGGAACAGTATTCCATGTGCGGCCGAACCTGCGCCTTGTAAAGTTGCAGGCGGTGTGCCGGCATGAAATACTGTCCCGCTTTGCTGAGTACGCCAAGCTTTTTTAGAGGCCAATTTGGCCTTCCGTTCCAAGTGACCACGAAACTGCACGTCACTCGATATGTCGACGCCGAGGATTCCGATACTGGCTGAGGCTACAAGGGGAGTGCCTTGAAACTGAGGGTATACAACAAAGGGGTTCTTTTTAGCGGTTAACGCGCAAACTTGTGTCTTCTGGGGGTTAAACTGGACTAGATTTAGTCGCCCCCAATCTGAGACTCTGTCCAGCAGAGACTCGACTTCAGACACAAGTTTGTCCCGGCACTCGGAGACGTTTTCCCGAGAAATATTGGCTCGGCCGGTGTAAAGAGCATCACCAGTGCTGTCATCTGCATAGCAATGAATGTTACAGGTATGCAACATGTCCTTGATATGCAGAAGAAACAGCGTTGGCGATAGCACACAGCCCTGTGGAACACCAGCATTAATAGGCTTGCAATCGGAGCTTGCACCGTCTACAATGACCTTGATGCTCCGATCTGCAAGAAAGCTGGTGATCCAATCGCACAATTTCTCGGGAAGCCCATAGGAAGGAGCTTCGAAAGAAGCGCTTTGTGCCAAACCCGATCGAAGGCCTTCGCAATGTCCAAACTAACGGCCAATGCCTCCCCCTTGAACTCTACTGCCTCCGCCCATCTGTGAGTTAGGTAGACCAGAAGATCACCAGCTGACCGACCACGGCGAAAACCGTATTGGCGTCACTAATCAGCTGGTGATCTTCAAGGTACCTCATGAGCTGGCAGTTTACAATGAACTCCATTGCTTTGGAGAACAAGGTGGTGATGGCGATTGGCTGGTAGTTGGACGGGTCAGAGCGGTCGCCTTTTTTAGGGATCGGGTGGACGTAAGCCGTCTTCCTTGATTTTGGGACTACGCCTAGGAAGTAGGAGTACCGGAAAAGACGCGTTAAAACCGGTGCCAACTCTGGAGCACACGTCCTCAGCACAATTGGAGGGGATTCCGTCAGGCCCACTCGACTTGTGGATGTCCAGGGAGAGTAGTGCTTTACGAACCGAGCGCTGTGTGAAGTGCACTTCCGGCATGGAGCACTCATACTGCGGGATGGTCGGTGGAGTACTCCCCCCGTCATCGAGAGTCGAGTTAGACGTAAAGAAAGAGCCTAGAAGATCGGCTTTCTCCTTTGCGGTATCGGGCCTGTGAGTTGTCCTCCCTGTGCAGAGATGGAAGAGATGGCTGACAGAAATTCCCCTGGACAGCCTTGGCGAGAGACCAGAATGCACGGGTTCCGGAAGGAAGGCGAACTAGTTTCTCGCCAATTCTGCCTATGTGCTCTGACTTTGCCTTGGCAATGACTCTTTTGAAGGACCTAGAGGCGGAATTATACTTCTTTTTTAGAGCGCTGGTGTTTACATCCCGGGACGCTGATGCATCAGCCCAGGCTTGGTAGCACTCCTGCTTATAGCATGATGCTATTTTACAGGAGCGACCAAACCATGGCTGAGACTTGCCTCCAATGGGCACCACAGAGGAAGGAATAAAAAGTTCCATACCCTGAAGTACCATATCAGCAACAGAATCCGCAACAACGTTGCGATCATCCGGCGAGAAGCAAACCCGCCCCCAAGGGTAGGATGCAAAGAAAGACCGCATCCCATCCCAATCGGCTGACCTATAGTGCCAAACACGGAGGCAGCCTGCAGAATGCAACCGCGATTTCAGCGTGAGTGGCACCACACTCCGGACCAGACAATGGTCCGAGAAGCCTAAAGGGGCGTCGACGGTAATCTGATATCCGTCCGGGTGAGAGGTCAGCAGAAGGTCCAACAGGGAAGGTGCATGATCCTCCACATCTGGAATCCGCGTAGGCGAAGTAACCAGTTGTGTCAGACCATATGCCAAGGCAAAATCATGAACAGATCTCCCCGCATGATCGGTTAAACGTGAACCAAGCCATTCGGCGTGATGGGCGTTAAAGTCGCCGAGGATCACGATCTCTGCGGAGGGGATCTGCTGTAGCAAGGAATCTGCAGCCATTTGGACGTGGTCGAATAGTCGGCCTGTTTCGGCATTACCGCTATGGGACCTATAGAGGTCCCATAGCGGTAATGCCGAAGCTGCTCAACCTGAACGCGCGGATGGTCGTCGCTGTCTACGCGTAGCCAAAGGATGGACAGGTCCGAACCTTCAAGTCTGCCGAGGCGTCGAGAGCAGATGTCCTCTCTGACGTAAACGCAAACTCCAGCCCGAGGCACAAAGGAGTGTTCCAGTTTGTACCTCGGGTAGGAGAGATACGAGACATCAGCCGGAGAGGATACCTGCGTCTCGGTCAGAAGAGCAGAGCCGGCCTCGCCGTCTCGAGATGGTAGTGGACGGCGTTTAGGTTAGAGTGAAGTCCCTGATAATGCAGAAATTCACGGACAGCGTGGCAGGGGTCGCCTTGGTCTTGTTGCTTTAGTTGTAGTCTTGAGCGGAATTTTGCCCCCCTCAGAATACGCGGGGCAGCCTGAGCACCCACGCTCAGAAGTGGAGAAACATGGTCGTGTGTGCTCAGCGAGGGATTCTCCAGGGGTGTTGGTACCCTCCTGGGGTAGTCGATCATTATTTAATTCCACTACCATGTTGATGGGGGGGGGGGATTTGGGCCTCCGGCCACCTGCACTCCCCAGACGAAACGCGGCAGCAGAGCTTCCACTTCACGCCGGTATTCTGTGAGGTCGTGGTACCACCCCGGTTTGAGCCGGCCCGTACGAACCACAGCAAAGCTGCCACGTGGCTCTACCACTGTTAAAATGCATATAAGCAAGTAAATAAACACAAACAAATAAACACAAACTTATATGCTTGCTAATATATTTTTTTATGTACTTGCTTACATTCTTGCTTATTTACTTGCTTA